ACAAGTTAACTACCTGTAATATGAAAAAGAATGCATGTACAACTTTTAGGTGAAACATCAGATGGGAAAACGTTCAATATACCAAGAAAACTATCCGGTCGTTCAGCTTGGACGGTTCTGAACCGTTCAACGACGTCGAGTCGTCGACGCAAGCGATCGATGTATGTCAGCAGTGACCGAAGATGCACGAGCTATCATGGCTGATGTACATTCCAATTAACCAGCACCTAATCTAGCAATTAATTATTCATCCACATGTTAAATCTTCTGAAAAACGGTTTTCTGTAATACTACTCCGTAACTAATAGTTGAGCTAAGACAATTCACTATTAATCGGGGACCCCAGCAACGTCTATAATCTGGAAAAAAGATGTTCTTGTTTGTAGATAATGGATGAGGGAATAATCGATGATTCGTGCTAGCAAATGCGTACTACACTGATCAACATGTTCCTTTGCATGATAGCATAGCAATGATCACTACGCGTGACGGCGTGAGCTTTCTAAAATTAACATTTCGCGAGAAGGAAAATAGAATGTGTGTGGTGGCTACAAAGGCAACCTGAAAGTGAAAAAGGGTAGAGCTAAGCTTGAAGCATAAGCAGGATTGGCTACCTGACGAGCAACCAATCCAATTTTTGCAGGTTATCTACTAAGGGCCTAGCTAACACAAGGAATCTTTTTTATTATTTTGCATATTGTAGGCAAGTGTTGTAACCATCTACAGTGCCATTGTTGGTTTCAAAACTTTGAGACAGCAAAACCTCCATAAACAAAGAAACTAATAGCTGGAAACTAAGAGTGAGCAATCAGTTTCAGACAGTCGGCCATGGCCCTAATTGGCTAATTATATACCGTATGGTCCGTATTTCAATGAAGTGTTCTTTGGTGCGACTTGTAACTTGTAAGTAGTAGTTAGTCTCACTAATTAGACTGCCCTCTGAGTTTTGGACATTTTTTATTGGTGTCTAGATGGACCTTAATCATCAAAATAATTAAGTTGGTGATACTACATTTTGGCTAGACAAATAAATGTGAATTATGTTGATTTTGTGACCTTATCAAACTGTGCTGTGCTTCTAAGGTGAAAAAAAAATATATATCCAAAATTAACGAATCTCTGTACAGCTGTGCCACTTGAAGTTAGTATGGCCGAGTTTAGTTACAAACTTTTTCTTCAAACTTTTAACTTTTTCATCACGTCAAAATTTTTCTACACATAAACTTCTAACATTTCCGTCACATCGTTTCAATTTCAATCAAACTTTTAATTTTGACGTGAACTAAACACACCCTATGTTCCACTTGGTCCCATGAAATTTTGACAGTTTTGGTAACGAGACGAATATTGTCACCAACTCTTTCAAGCTCTAGCAGACTGGTTCCACAAATCATTGCACTTGCTGGTCGCCGTCGAACCGTCGATGTCCCATGAATGACATACCGACGAACGTCACAAACCAACACATGTGTTGGGATCTGCTGCGCCTGTGATCGGTTGGATGATAGTAACAGGCATCCTTAATTGTTCAATGTCACTGGAGCAATAGGAGCAAGTTTAATACTTCATCCATCTACTTTTGATAGTCATATTTCATCTTGGCACAATAACCAAGGATAAATAATTCTACTTATCATCCATTTAAACATGCTACTAATTATTCCTCGTAAACAAACGATTTATTAATATTTACATTTCTCGATGCCCATGTAACTAATCTTGTATGGAAGAATAGAGAGTCACGCATTAAATCCGAGAAAGTTATAAGAGGATAGGTGGTTGGATTGAAATATGCCTATCAAAAGTAAAATTTTTCATATTTGAAAATATACCTATCAAAAGTAGATGGAGGGAGTAGTATAGCTAACTACTAGCTCCAAATCATATATAGTTAATTTAATATCTTATTTATATAATAGTTACCTATAAATATATACTACACCATTAATACATGATCGCACATCTTAAATACATAATATTTTAAAGTTCGTGCTGCAGCTGACTATAAATCTGTAGCCCGCTTTCCTTCTCTCTCTTCTCTTATCTCATCCACATATGCTTATAGCTGATTTGTAGCCTGCTATTGTACTCGCTCTAAGATGGGATCCACTTTCTTATATTCTTTTGTATATAACACATACTATATGTATATTACATATAATCTTTTCTTGATCTTAAGCTAGGACCTAAAAAAATTCTACTCAACATGAATGAAAAAGCACCATGCATGTTGCAAAAAACATGAACTAATTTTTTATTTCTTATGATGTAGAGTTAATTTTAGGTTTGGCCATAGCAATATTCTTTGTTTTCTCCTGTCCCAATGCATAAAGGTAGAAAAAAATATTGCTTTATTCCTTAAGACTATTTTGCATATAATATTGTGGATGTCCTAAGACTGCAGCGGATACAGACGGATAGTGATAATATCATATTCATTTTCATATAGCTAGATATAAAAATAAATACGAATAACTCGGATACGAAATTAAATACAAGTTATCTTGAATATAAATAATTAGAATTGAATATGATTGGATACAAATATGGAAACAATATTTCTCGGAACATAAAAACCATCAATACTTCTAATAGAAACAAATACCATGTTTTATCTCCTTTCATATACAAAGTTTCATCGTGGAGTAAATAATGTTCATTAAGTCCAACACATGCAACATTATCAGCACAAATATGTGCCTAACTGATATTAGAACAAATAACATATTATAATTTGTAAAAGTTTTTAGAAGTTCAAATAATATTAATTGTGTAAAATAGGGTTAGTGTGATGTGCTGCTATTAAAATTTTAAAGAGGTAGACTGATAGTCCAGAGTTAGAAAGTGCTTATCGCCTTATCCAATTAGACAACTTTTATAGTGACCATCGACAGTGTCACGTATTTGTGGTGTCTTATAGTGAATTACACTATTTTTGGATGTTCTATAGTAAATTTTGTGTTACCGAAATGAATCATGATCACATAACACAAGAGGAAGGAATTTATTTTCAAGTTAGAAAAAAAATAAGTTGAAAGAAAATAAATTAATGAAGAGAAAAGCTTCCCTGGGATGCTCTTTTAACGGTGACCGCTCAGTTTGTTACTCGTATTCGTATAAGAGAAGTTACTTCTGCTAGGAGCTCTTCCTTAGATGCTCCTTGACTCTTCAAGCCTCATCGGTTGGCCTAATAAGTAAAAGTATAAATCAAAATTTAAATTTTTTAACTTAAAATTAAAATATTTTTAAAGTAATTTCTTTTTAACATTGGCTTTTAAGTCGCTACGAACAAATATATAAAAGTTTTACATGTTAATTTTTATATTTACTAATAAGTCATTTTAGCTTATTAGAGAATATGGATAACCGATGAGACTCTTGGTACACTACACAGCACCAAGTAATTTGAATAACGATATTTCTACCGATGTGATGTAATGTAAGGCATGAGCTTCGTTGCGGTTGACTCCACAAAATAGTCTAAAGTCAACGATCAACGCCCAGCACTGCACTTCTGCGAAATACTCCCTCCGTCCCAAAATATAAATATTTTTAGCATAGTGCCAAGTCAAACCTTTTTAAATTTAACTATTAACAAAAAAAATAAAAAATCAATTATATAAAATTGATGTTAGTAGATTTATCATTAAACAAACTGCCATTATATGTAACTCTTTTTTATTTAAAACATCTTATTTTTATAGACATTGTTTGTCAAAATAACATTTCGAAGACTGTGTCAAAGTAAAAAAAAGCTTATATTTTAAGACGGAGGGAGCAGTATATATTATTACAGTATCAATTTCTCTCTTCAGCAATGTTCCTGAATACATATACATAAAAACATCAGCCCATCGCCCATCAATAATTAACACTTACTCTCTCTCTCTCACACACACACACAAAAAGAAGGGCAGGGGCATATGGCCTGTACAAACCCATCTAAGCTTCAAATCGACAAAACATTGTATTTTGGAATAAGTGTGTTTTATAACTCTCATCTCTTTCTTTCTCTTGATTGAATCACTCTCTTAACCATAAAATCGAGTATAACGGCTCCATCATGTTCAAAAACCGGTGTAAATCTACTCCTGCAATGTTTTAGAAAATGATTTTTGTTGATGTAACAGTATGATCACGACTGACTTATTCAGTTAGCAGATATAACCCACATGTCAACAACATTTTCATCATCTCATCTTTTTCCTCACCTCTCCCTCTCCCTCCCTCCCACTTTTTTGTAGGCGTCCAAAGTCACGCGACTAACTGGCTATTGGCTAGTATTCCTGCATACTTGTACTTCTCAAACATTAGCCACTACAATTCAACACTTTTTTTATAGGAGCAATTCAAACCCTCACACACATGCAAATAATAACTAGATGATGTCCCGTGCTTTTGCTACGGATATATGTTACATATTGGAGAAATGATAACATGATTTAGATTGAAATATTATAACAATGATTTGATAATGATGATTTAGCATGTGTTTGTTTAGTTTTAGAATAAAATAATTTATAGGCATAATTACTATATGTTTAAATGTTGAGCTTTATATGTTCGATGGGTTGATGTGGTATGCTTACATGGAGATACTAGTAGTGCTAGTAAGTAAATATTATGCTTGTATTTAAGCTTTAGATGTTTAGTGGAGAGATTCAGCCCTTCTACATCCTACAATAAGGCTGCAAGCCATGGGCCATGGCCCGTACACGCCCAACTTTAGGCCCGAATTCGCATTCGATCCGCTAATAACAATCCAGTAGCACCGCGAACTGTCATCCGTTAGCAAACTTCCCTTGATCCCAACAAATTTCGCTCGAAAACACTACTCTCTTGTACACTGCAGGTTGTTCGCTTCAGAGTTTCAGAGCGTGTCGCGTGCAACCGTGCAGTGAAGCTCTCCGTCCCCGACCGTCTCCGATTTTCCAGCCGCTTTCGCGATCTCCTCTCATCCCCCTGTTATAAAGCCCCACTACCCTCCAGACACGCCTAGCCTCTCATCGTCTCGATCGATCTCTCACACGCGCGCGCCTCCATTGTTCTCGGATCAACAAGCTCTCCAAGAACAGCAGCAAAGATGAAGCCTTCGTCTTCCTCCGTCGGCGTCTGTACCCTGCTGGTGGCGGTGGCCTCCCTGCAGCTCCTCCTCGTCGTCGCCGTCGCCGCCTCGGCGAAGACTGCACCGGCGATGCCAGACGAGGAGTTCTTGGGCCGTCTCTGCGACCAGCAGCAGGGGGCCACGCGGCGGCGGCTCCCGTGGTGCCAGCAGCTGCACGCGAGGCGGCGCCACGGCGGTGGCGGCGGCGGCGTCGGCGTCGGCAAGCGGCGGCGGGTGCCGATGCCGCCGCCCAGCCGCGCCGGCGAGGAGATCGACGCGCGCTACGACGTGTCCAAGCGGGTCGTGCCGAGCGGACCGAACCCGCTGCACAACTAGACTGATCGATCGATCGTGTATCTGCCGCTTGCATTGCATGCGGGCGTGCGTCCTCATTGATCTTTCTTCCCGTTGCGCGGGGGCGGCTGATCGGCGGCTGGGCGCGCGCCCGCGGTCAGTCCGCCCCTATAGTACTACTGTACTACTACTATACTAGCACTACTATACTACTATACCTACTACTATTCCTACATACAATAAATGAATGTATACACATACGAATAAACATAAAAATTTATTCATATGCATACATTTTTTACCTATATAAAAACTACATACATGTATATGTTGTATACGTATATACAATTTAACTTTGTATACGTGTATACAAACTTTATATACGCATACGTATACAAAGTTTGTTTTTTTTTTTGACAAATTGATCCTTGTAGAAAACTTATTTCGAAATTAGTCTTTGCCAAAAACTATATCCAGATATAGGCTGTTGGCTCAGCGCCAAAGTTGTTAGCGCTGAGGTTGTTCCTGTCAGCGTCAACAGGACTGGCGCTGGTATTGCGCCAGCGTGGCGGGCGAGGAGCGACGTGGCATGGCACCAACGCAAATGTATTTGGCGCTGACCCCTTATACATGGTAAACAGACTGATGTCTTGTAATGAATTAGTTATGTACTGCTGCAATGGTAAGTTCCTTTGCCTGGTGTACCTTAGGACTAGGGTTCGAATCCCAGGTCAGCCATTTTCGTTTTTTTTCCTTGTTTTTTTTCTTCAAATCTTCAATCTCCGTGCGTACATATAAATGATTAATGATGATTTCTGTTTTTGAAAAAAATATATACGGTACTAATCACCCTATTACCCACCAAACTGAAAGAAAACATCGGCCAACGAACAAAATTAATGGAAAAAATGTTGATATGTCAAGGATTTGAACCCATAATGTACGGCATACAAGTCAAAACATTAAAAGAAATAACACATTTTTTGTTTAAATTAATTTTTATTAAAAAGAAATATCACATTCAGTACAGATTTAAAAAGTAGAAGAATGGATTAAAAAAGTTTAGAGTCAAATTTTAAAAGAAATATCATTTTTTATAAAAAAGAAATTAGAAGAATGGAAAAATCTCACCTTTCTAGAGCAATATTGCTAGAGGTGCTAGGAAGTCGACGAAAGCCGCTGGAGGCGATCCCGCGTCGCTCGTGATAGCAATTGCAACATGCCTGCATCGGGAGCATCGCGTGCAGCAGCTCGCTATAGGCCCGCGGTGGGAGCAGCAGCAAGCTAGCAAGTTGGTAGGGTTGTAGCAAGAGCAGCAACAATGGTGGACGGAGGAGGTACCACCAATTAGGGTTGGGGGGAAGGGGTCAGCAATTTCTGAATCACCATGTAGGATGGCCTATTCTACCAATTTTTGGAAAAATCCATCTTCTAATCGTGTTATTCCTGGCCTTGAATCCAATGGCAAGTATTATGGATTTACGGGTGCCAACAGTTTTGATGGTAAGCATGTAATTACGTTTTTTAAGTTGTAAATTTAATAAAATACCGGTTCAAAACAGTTACAAATAGAGATTACCTATACATTTTTCGAAAGATTTTTATGATCGTATCACATAGATTTTTAATCTTTGAATTAAAATCCAATAGATATAATAAAAAGCAAAAAGCAATTAAGAAACACTATAATGGACACTAAATTACCATATCCTCAAGCAAAAGACCAAATCCAATACAAAATTTAAAATTTACATGCGAAGATTTAAAAATTACAGTGTAACTTACAAAAGTTACAGTGTAACTTTCATAAATTACACTGTAACTTACAAGAAAATGCACCGTAAATTTGAGTGAGAAAATCGAGTAAGAGATAAGAAAAAAATCTTTCGAGTGAGATATAGCAAAATCGTTACAAATATGCAGTTGGCCTTTTTTTGGAAGAGAAATGTCATCGAGCCCAATGGGCCATCTATCAATGGAGGCTAAGTACGTACTCAGGCCCACCGAGAAGAGGAGTACTGGCCCATTTCTTGCGGCGCAGGCCTCCGTGTTGCAGTTTATGGGCCCACCCACCACGTTCCTCCCTTCTTCCTCTCCAAGTCCAAGACGAGACTGGAAGCCGCAGAGGAGGGAGGGAGAGAGCCCTTGGCGGCTCGCGGCGCCGCACCACACCACCACCAAAACACGCACGCACCGAACGCTTCGATGGGGCGGCTGCGCGCGTGCACCCGCCTCCGTCGCCTCCTCGCGACGAGGCCTCCTCATCCGGCTCCGCCGCCGCCGCCGCCGAGGACGACGACGACGGGCCAGACTCTCCCGTGCTTCTCCGCTAGGGCCTTCTCGTCGGCCTCGGCGGTCGCCGTCGCGGTGCCGCACGAGGCGCGCGACTCCGGCCTCGGGAGCTCGGCCTACTGGGCCTGGATCCGGGCGGCGGCCGAGTCGGCCCCGGCCCCGCCTCCGCAGCAAGAGGAGGAGGATGAGGGCCTCGCGCGCTGCATCCCCGTCAAGGCGTACTTCCTCTCCACCAGGTACGTTGGAAGCATATGCGCGTGCTTGCACGACAGGTGTTTGTTGATTTTTTTTTTCAAAGGTGTATGTTGCTATCATATTGTGCTAATTCAATCTTCCTTATGCCATTTTGATGGATGGGCACGACTAATAGATGCAGAGGACTAAAATGATGTTTTGTTTGTCTGATTTTTCTTTCCCCCTGTGGCAGCATTGATTTGAAGAGTTTGCAGGCGGACCATGGGAGCGACGTGGTACCTCCGTCGACCCGATCATTGAACTACATTGCACTCCGATACTCAGAATTCCCTCAAGAAATCATGGTTAGTGATTCCAATTTACCATCACATAGTTCCTGGTCCAAATGCTTTTGAATCAACAAATTTAAGTTATTAACTCCACCTTGGTAATTTGTTGAACGCAATTTTGTGAAATCTCTCTTTTTCTGCACTGCAAAATTTAACTTCTCTGCAATGATTGGCTAACATTTCTGTAGGACATTGGAGTTAAGGACAACAGATTTTGCTATCGCTATGTGGTTGTGTTCCAATATGGTTCGGCTGTGCTTTTCAACATTGCTGACCATGAGGCTGAGCACTATCTTGATATCATCAGGAAACATGCTTCAGGATGGCTTCCGGAGATGAGAAAAGATGGTATTACACATGCTATTCACTATCTTGCTTGTCATATTTTACCTTGTGAACAAAGACATTTTACTCGGTACTTCTAGTTTTCTTCACACTGTTCCATTATATTGTGTGTACGACTAGCATATAATTCAATTGCCTTCTATGTTAGTGAAAATTACATTTTGATAAAATCCCATAGAACTACAAGAGAGTCCATATGCATCTGATTGATATTGGACGTGATGCATTCATAGGCTGGTAATATGTGAAGTCATTTAGAGTTGAGTAGCTCCCCTTCTACCCCCTAAACAGTTGCAAAAGCTTTTCTTTCACTGGGACAAAACTGGCTCATTTGCAAAGTAGTGAAGTAGCGTGTAAGGTTAAGAATTTAAGATTGTATTACATCCTCACATGATATCAATTCTACAATGACCAGATTATGCAGTAGTTGAGAAGCCCTCCCTGACAACATGGATGAAAGGAGGTCTTGACTATATAGTTCTTAAAAGCCTAGATACAGATGGAATTCGCATCATTGCAAGTGTTCTTGGCCAAAGTATTGCTCTTGATCATTACATACGGCAGGTACTGAAAAGGGGCAACTTCGACAAGCTTTTTCCATGTGGTGGTAGCCTTGAAATTTTGTTCTTAAGGTTCTAAAAAACACTAATTTTGGTAGGTCGATGACATGGTTGAGGAATTTACTGAAATTAATCGTGTCATGGAGAAGACTGGGAACTTTACCATGCAAAGAAAGAAGCTGTTCCAACTTGTTGGCAAGGCTAATTCTAACCTTGCTGATGTTATCATCAGACTTGGCCTTTTTGACAGGTATCTCTTCTACAATCTAAGTACCACATTCCCTTTTTAGATGGTTCATGTCTTCCGTTGCAATTGCATAATTTCCTCTCTTTTTTATCATGTATGGAAGTAATCTCATTGTATACCAATCCTACGTGCATTGTGACAAGCTATGCTGTGGGGGAAGGAGGCATGTAGTTTGATATTCTTTTCTGGTGTGTTTAAAAGGTTAATGCATTTTAGCTCTGAACTGTAAAATTGGAGTTTACATGCCACAGTTCTGTGTTATAAAAGCACTTTGTTCATTATACAAATGTTATGTTATTGTTTTCCCTGATGCTTTGCATTAACCCTAGCTCTGCAAATGCCATTTTACTTAAGGAAGCATACTCATTTGCCATTTAAGTAAGGGAATAATTGAAGGAAAGGAAGAATTATATGGCTTCTATAACATAAATTATTTATATTCCGAGTGAAGGTGGCATTTTTTGTCGGAAGTCTCATTAGTTAATGCTGATTTGCCATAATACTCCACCTTTTAATAAAATTCCTCTTTCCATATCATGCTTAGCTTATGAAAATTGCAAAACATTTTGGTGTCCTCAACTGGCTGTTTCCAGTTGTAAGGCTTGGAATTTGCCAACTATCCACATGGTTTGATAAGAACCCAAGACTACCATGACAAAAAAATATGGATAAAAGCTGATCTAAAGGGAATTTTACGACATCGTGGATACGGTCTCCTTGCGTATCTTATGGCAGCCCCTTAAAAGAATGACTTTTTCTTCAGGTCTGAAATCGCTTGGAAAAATTCAAATTATGCTCAAATACTTGAGTATCTTCGGGAAGAATATGAGCTGAACCAACGTTTTGGAAGCCTCGACTTCAAATTGAAATTTGTGGAGGTAAGTTCTTCGATTTGTGTTCATTTTCAGTGTATTAGCTGATTTTTTTAAAAAATTTTGAGTTCCCATTCGTGCTTACACTTTATTATTGCAACAGCACAACATTCATTTTCTTCAAGAAGTTCTCCAGAATAGAAGATCAGATTTGCTGGAGTGGGGTGTCATTATACTGCTGATTATCGAGATTGTCATCTCATTATACGAAATTATCAAGGATTCCAGCATGATGTCCTGAGAGCACACTATCCAACATCTTTGACAGCCATCCACCCACATCACCCTACTGTTATGCTAACCCACACTCTACTTCCCACAATTGATGCTAACCTTAGTTGAAAGGAAGTAAAAGCTCCCTTTCATAGCTTTACTTTTGTGTTATACTGCCTGGGATGCATTTTTGTTAGTTTATTTATTCTGCTGGTTCCAAGTATACCTCACAGCTAACAAGAGCAGTTAATTCTTTCTCCAAATCCCAGGAATTCAGTTCCCCAGGTTTCTACGGGAAGAGTTTTGGTTTTCCTCTTTATGCATTTCAACAGATGTTCTTGGTACATGCCCCATTTGCTGATACCACTGCTGTCAGGGTTTACTTACTCCTGTAGGACCTATGTTGGTCCCAAACTCCCAATTTTGTGGTAAGACATGAGACCAGCAGGCTGCCGGCTATTAGAAGGGATGTAAAAATGATGCGAAAACGTCAAATATTTAATGGCATATCCTCTGTACTATAAGCGTCCCTACTACTATATTTGTCTTTGTATTGATATTTAGCGAGATGCTATGATCTCTGGTTAAACCACTCTTCTTAAATTACCTGTGCTCAAGGATCTTTGTAGTTTGTACAACCCAGGCGATACACAGAAGTGCTTCAGTTCTCTCCCACTAAAGACTGCATGAATCCTAAATCACTACTCCCTCTGTTGAACATAACCTACTACTATTATTATATGAAATTCTATGAATTTGGAGACTCCCAAATATGGCAACTTATCGTATCCTAGTTGTAGAATATGTTCAATTCAGGATTAGGTTGCTATAGTTTTGGATGAAGGAATAATAGTTTTCAAGTTCAACATGCTGGAGCCCTACCAATTTTCAGGAGTGCGCACGGCCTGAAGTTTAGGAAACCTGCGATGAATTTCTGCCACATTACGGAGATGCGCATGTCCAGATCATCGCAACCGATGGCTGCGACCGATCATTACATAAACAATTCCAGTACACAAAAACGATGCAAAAAAGATGGTATAAATCTATTATATTATATGCAACATCTCCATATCATTTCATGTGATATCCTGCTTCTGCTTGTTCTTGCCACAAAATATAGTGTAAACCCGAATAAAATATTTTCTTTCAGTTGTCCCAAAATGGATACCTATGGTTGTCTTTCCCCTAATTTATTCTTTGATGCCAGGAAACCGAAGCTGGCAGTTTACAATCGTAAACAATCAATCCAATCTCCTCAGCAAGTAGGCTACTTGAACCTCCTTGGTTAGCGGCATGATCCTGTAGCTGTACAGTTCAGCCACCAAACTGGGCCTTATCTTGTACATTGGTGGAGCGCCGTTGTCTTCAGCGCCTAAATCCACCTCCTGTCCAAAGATCTTAGCCTTAGCTTCCACCCTATGTTCAATAGCACGCTCCACCGTTTCATAGGTGAGGAGGTGCATTAGTTGATCGCAGTCCTGAAATTCCCAGATAAAAATAATTAGCCGCTTGCATAATAGACTCAACTTTGATATGTACCTAAAGTAATGTACAAGAAAACACATGGAATTTATTTGCTTCCCATGATAAAGACAGATTATACAGCAAAACAGAACACAAACCTGTGCTATTATCGCAGGCATGTAAGCTTCAGGAGACTCTTGAAACTTAGCCTCTGCCACAAACTTACCATAGTGAATTCTTTTGGAGAGCGCCTGGATGATAGAACAGGAAAACAAGAACAGGTGAGCATAATTTCCCAATATAAAAATGCCTAATTGCACGAGTCACCAGTGAACAACAGTATAGTACTAATACTATGAAAATGACATCTGGTGAAAATTCTGGCAGCAGAACATCTTGAAGCAATACTACAACAAGAAATGGTTTTACAAGAATTATTTTGCTAATGCTAAATTATTTTGAGCAAATGAAAGCTACAGCACAGTAGCCAGAAGCAGTACGAGGCCAGATTATTAGAACATTTGGTATACTAACTGTAGTACCTGCAAGCAGATCGTGTCACAAAGAGCACTGGATCCATAATTACCATCACTTCCTTCTTTCACTAATCTTGGAAGAAGCTCATCAAAATACATTTTCCAAATCTCCTTGTTGATATTAATAGAATCAGCAATAGGATGCAAAACCTAGAAAAGACAAGAACAAAAATATGAATTTTATCCAAATTTACTTATAACAATACAACAGCACAGTAATCAATTAGCAATGTGAGTCTCAATAGATGGTACTCCACTTCGTATCAAAAGTTGTATTATGTTGCAGGTGGACAGTAAGCACGATATCCCACCACAGAACCGATATACTAGTGGTCAGTCAACAAAGGTACATGCTTGCCTTCACTGACAAAAGAAGCTACGCAAGCCCACACAGAAGAATTCAACATCTACGAATACATAAGATGCATAACCAATTCATCTACTGTCAGTTCAGAGAGAGAGATAGGGAGAGAGAGGCAAGCATAAACCCAAATAATAAAACCTGATATATTAGTGATTAGTCAATGAAGGACTATGTTTGCCTATACTAACAAAAGGAATGCTGAAAGCCTACAGAGAAGAACTAGATGTCTAAGAACACGAGTTTATGCATTACCTTTGGATACTGGAGAGGTGGCAACAGTGGTTCAGGCAGATCCTCCGGAAAGAATGGGTGCTCATCAGGGCTCTTGTATCTCCCAACCTACACAAGATGGCCAGAACCATCAACATTTTGCAATTTTTGGCATACAATGAACAATTATATTGCTAGTTACAACCCTGCTCTACCTGTTGATGTAGTTTTTCGGTTTCTCTAACCATGAATTCAACCAAAGAGCCATCAAATCCATCCACATGGAAAGCATTTTTATCATATATATCAGCATTGTAGCAAAACTGTGCTCTCTCTAAGAGGCTGAATATGATGCTGTCTTCTTGCCTAACCAAGGAGGTTCTAATGTTGTCCAAGGTCAGTATTTCACTTTGATCTATCCTCTGTTTCTCCTCCCTGCAAAAAGTACAAGAGAAAAGTATTAATTTCTTTGATGTAACACAAAAAGGTTTTGTAGGAGTGCCATAATGACTTAACCAGGTTATCAATATGTTATTTGTCCCTTGCAAAGAAAAAAAAAGTTCTTTGGTTTCCAAGTCAATTCCCTTTTAAAAGGTGCACATGTTTATCTAGAAAGTTTTGCTGCGATTCAGGGATTGATACTACAGCAGTCGTACAAGAAAAATAATTCACCCTTTGTTGAGTTTTCTACACAAAGACTTTGGTCAAGTCACCAGCTGCCCACGATTTTTGGTCGAAATGGCAAAATACCTTGCATGAAATTTACATGTTTAAGCATCCTTGGCATCACACAATGATTAAAACCATAATATGGATTCAACTAATCAAAACTCAAAACTACAGTATGGCTTTAAGTCAAAGCTGGCAAGCACAATCATTAGCACAATCAACTCCATGTTGTTAAGAAATCATTTGAGAGAAAATATTTCCCAACTAGGAGACCAATTCTCAACCATCAACTCGACATCAAACCATTCCTCATTTTTCTTCCGAACCAGAGACCACCTCGAATCGGATAGTATACGATTCATGAATCCATCAATTAAAGCATAACGCTAACCCGGTCTCGATTCGCAAAGCACTAATGCACAAATCGCACAGACGAAGATGCTATATGCTACTACACCACCAACGCCAAACAGAGAATCACGCATCCGATTCATTCCAAGACCGGGCAGGCATAAGGAGACCTCGCGAGCAGGGGGGGGGGGGGGGGACTAGAGAAGAGTTTCATACTTGGTCACGGGGGTGACGGAGTTGTTGGTGGCCGCGAGCCGCGCCCGCCGCGACGACGGGACGAACTCCACGCGGCTGGCCGGCCCTCCTCCCCCGCGGGCCATCCCCACGGGCGCGGGCGAGGCGGCCCTGTAGCTGGAGACCACCTTGTTGAACTCCATAGCTCGCACGCTCGCGCGCAATGGAATCCGGGGTTGGTAGGGTGGACGTCGTCGGGAGGGAGGGAGGGGTGGGTAGGCGTGGGGGAAATGAAATGCGGGGCGTCGTCGTCCGCGATTTTTGTAGGCGGCGGGAGAGCGAATAGGAGACGACGACGGGAGGTGAGGTGACGGCGCGGAAGGGAGGGGTGGGGGGATGGTTGGCGGAGGCGGAGGACGGGAGGAGGAGGAGGTAGGAGGAGGTAGGTGGGTGTGGGGTTGGGGTTCGTGGGAGGTGGTGTTTGGATTTCGTTACTTAACTTTTATTTCATGGAGTTAGACACTAATTTAGAGGATTAAATATGGACTACTTACGAAACTAATTATATAAATGAAAGCTAATTCGCGAGATAAACTTTTTAAACCTAATTAATTTATAATTAGAGAATGTTTACTGAGCATCACATAGACTAATTATGAATTAATTAGGCTCAATAAATTCGTCTCGCGAATTAGTTCAATATTATGTCTAAGATTATGGATGAGTTTTATTAAAAGTCTATATTTAATATTTATAATTAGTACCTAAATATTTAATATGATAGGGACTTAAAACGTCCCGACGTCTCGTCTCGTCCGGTAGAGAGGCCGGCGTGAGAAAACTGCGAAAATTGGGGGCGGTAGCCGGTACCAGGAGGACGTTAGGTGTGTCGGGGTTTTTCACTTTTTTGCTCCCGTGTTCTCGGCGGAGGTGAGGTGGCGCGGGCGCACGGCGTACCACGGGGTTACGGGGTTGGTATTGTGGGGTACGGTGCGGCGCGTGGTGTGTGGCGCGAGGAGGGCCGGGAGAGCGTGAGGCTCGTCACCACGGCACGCGTCAGCTTCGGCCTCGGGTTTGAGGCGAGGCGGAAACGAATGGCCAGGTCCAGGTCTGAATAGTTTCTGCTACCGTCAACTGAGACAAAACACAAGAGGCACCAAAAACATGAAAAGTGTTTTAAACTCCTGATGTCTCCGTTTATTTTTTTAAAATTCTTCGAGTGGATGCCCTCTAATTTATTAAAACACTATCTAACATTTATGATATAGACATAAACTACTTTTAAAAAAATCAAGTCAAAACTCAACCCACACGTTAAGATATTATCAAATGTGTAGATTGAATTTGAATATGATTTTTGGTGTAGTGGTGGACTTTAATATACTCGTTCTTAAATTATTTAAAATTATACTTGAGAAAAAAAATTATATGAGAGCATATTCCCTTGAGAGTGAGAGATTAGAATCATCCCCCCTCAAATAAAAAAGTGCTCCTACCATGTGAACGACACTAGTTTTGCTGGTCGTGTAAGGGTATTAGTTACTCCATCCGTCCCAAAATAAGTGCAGTTTTACACTATTTATCTCCAACGTTTGACTGTTCGTCTTATTTGAAATTTTTTTATGATTATTATTTTTATTGTTATTAGATGATAAAACATGAATAGTACTTTATGTGTGACTAATTTTTTTAAAAAAATTTAAATCAAATAGACGGTCAAACGTTGGACACGGATTTCTACTGCTGCACTTATTTTAGGACGGAGGTAGTACTAGTCCACGAAACTTAATTTAAGTTAAAATAAACTATGAACCTGTTCTATTTTGACTTATAAATTAGTTCATAGGTTAGCCGCTACACCCCTACAACTGTGTACCACTCCATGTTTGTCGTTAGGATTGGCTTTTTTAGACATAGGGGTACGGATTAAGAAGCAACTAGTCTAACACAACGGAATCTATACTACTAGTAGTGCTAGTAGGCCATTAGCTGTGCAAACACTATGTTTAGTTTATGTGCTAATTTTTTTAAGTATATAGACACACATTTAAAGTACTAAACATAGACTAATGACAAAACAAATTACAGATTCCGTCTGTAAACTGCGAGACGAATATATTAAGCCTAATTAATTCGTTATTAACAAATGTTTACTATAGCACCACATTGTTAAATCATGGCGTAATTATGCTCAAAAGATTCGTCTCGCGATTTACATGCAAACTGTGCAATTAGTTTTTTTTCTGTCCATATTTAATGTTCTATGTATGTGTCCAAGCATTCGATGTGATGGAAAAGTTGAAAGCTTGAAGATAAAAGTTTGAATCTAAGGGTGTGTTTAGTTCATGCTAAAATTGAAAGTTTGGTTGAAATTGGAATGATGTGACGGAAATATTGGAAATTTATGTGTGCAGGAAAGTTTTGATAGGTTGAAAAAGTTATAAGTTTGAAGAAATGGTTAAAAGTTAAAAGTTAAACTCGGCCTAAACACGGCCAATATGTAAAAGCATGGCATCCTGACGATATCCGCCGCTTCAAACGTGGGAAGGTTGTCCCTGTCACGACGACTTGGCAGCCGGTCGTGCAAGTGGGGATTCTACGACGTTTTTGCACTCCCTTCTTCTCAGGCACGGCAGAGTTTATCTAGTTCTAGAAAGCGGCATTTCAACATCAGCAACACCAACACTGCCGGAGCATTTCTTTTTTTTTTTTGGGGTCTTCCCTTCTTATTTTCCCTGAGCGTAGAAAATTCTGTGGTTTCCAGTTTTCCACGGAAGTAAATTCCAATTTTCCAATAGATGTACGTCAACCCTTTGCTTCCTCTCCAGCTGCAGAGTTGCAGGTTTGACGAATGCAGCTTATCTACAAAATTCCCATCAGAGGGAACACAGTTACAGAAGAACTAGGGGAAGTACAGATTGCAAATCCATAAGGATCTTCTTTAGAACCGTATACGTAAAGGGCTTCATGGATTGGCCACTATATATGGGTGTCACCCTCAATCGTGAATCTGCAAGGTCAGATATCAGTATATCAAATGCAGATTGCCTCATTGCAGATTGCTGTGGATTGTTCAGGTTCCGGGTTAGCCCAGTCACCAGTCTTCACTGACATTAGCCCGCTGTGGTTACATCAGATAGTAACAAGCTCCTTCATCATTTCGGAATTCAGTCGGTGGTAAGGCATCGGAAATGGCATCAAAACAACTCTTGCTGCCTACCTGAATGTATCACGCAGGGACAGATTATATTAAGTTTGTGGTCCACTTGCCAATTAAACGAACGCCTCATTATAAGTGAAAAGCTCACCTTTCAGCTATCCGTGCTGCCATCATCGTCATCTTCATCCCCAGAAGCTTCATAACGTGGCTGATCATACTTCTCACGAAGCTGCTTGATAGGAATGAAGTCCCCAGCAGTGTCCTCGCCAAAAAACAGAAATTCAATATAGGGGTGATCAAATCTTCCCTATTTATAAACGGGGACAGCATTAGTTCAATTTGACCAAAAATGAAAACCACCAAGCAAATGAAGAACTCAAACTCACTTTCTCTGATATTTCAGCTTCTGCAAGATTTTCTTCTGCAACTGAAATTACACAGACATAACATGTCTCAAAATGGCGCAGCATAGGCATAAAACAGTAAGTGAAGATGGATTTGATCAATTGACTACTGCATAGCCTACTATCTTGCCTTCTTCTGCCATTTTACACAAAACAAGATTGCTCATTAAAAGTTACAGATCTCAAGATAGAATTTCCACCAGTGGTCATGTCTATCAAAATAGTGGAAAAGAAAAATCAATACCATATGCAACAAGGAGTTCTGGATCAGCATATACATCAACAAGGACCTGCAAGATTTCAGCAATGAATCACAGAGGATCACTAAGCATCTCAATTCTCAAAAGACTAAATTATGCAAACACATCAGTAATTCAGTATGCATGGGCACTATCGTCCAAAAGAAAGCATTAATTGCATAGAGAAACAGTCAATTGCAGGCTAATAAAATTGCATCATGAACGGCCTGATTATACCCAAAAAATCCAAAAGGGAGGAGAAAAAGGCAATGATGAATATCACCATCTCAACTCCATAAGTGAGTTTGCAAATTAAGAACAAGAACAGGTAGGTATTATTACACATAATCGCCATCCATGATAGATAAGTCACAACTGATGCTACATGAAGGAAATGATATTTCTATGAACTATGGGCATTGAGGAACTACTAAATCGGAATAAGTCAAGCAGCATTTACTTGATAAAAAGGTTGATTCGGTCCTTTGGACAAGTTTTCCACATTTGCTGTCTCCATCCATGACTTGGATTCACAGCACACAGGATCCATGCCACAAATCACAGCTCTATATCCTTCAGCAGGTGATGTTATCATGTAAAATTAAGAAGAGAAACTAAAGTGTGTTCACTGAAGTTAATATTTGATATAAAGTGTGCTTCAACACATGCAAATGTTCCATTTAAGGATAATGGCAATTATGAAAAATTAACTTTTCATATAAAGTTTGAAAAGAAATTGTAGTAGTTATCCATTTTCTGAACAGCTTCAGAAATAATGTGTGAACAACAATACGAAGTAGGTAGTATAGCAGTACTCACCGTGTACCTTATGACGTACTTTCTGCCCTAGTCGAAATGCATATTCCACATTTTGATATGCAAGGGCCTTAGCGGAGACTGCCAGAGACTCTGTCTACATGATGTTTGAAGTTAATATGTTATTAACACATTACCATCACATGGTCGGTGCACTACAGTTTTGTTGTACCTCAAGTTTAGCAATTTCATCACGCAGTGCAGCTGCCAAAGCATAATTTTCACTGTCAACAGCCTTTTGCAAATCCGCACTGAAACAAATGGATAAAGCTAAGTGATCTACTGATCTCTCAAATGAACCAATGCTACATAACACTGGAACATCATGGAGAAATGGAAACTATTAACATACCGCACGCGTAAAAGGTTTATAGCTTTGTCCTGAGCTTCAGTCTTTGATGAGCCTCTTTTAGCTTCACGTTGCCTAATTATCTCTGTTTCAATCTAGACGAGGATATTTTCTTTAGCAAGCCTCATACAATGAATTCATTTATCTTCAAGTGAAATCATTTGGTACCTCTGTGAGTTTTTCCCTCAATTGTTTTGCCACATCAAATTGCTCTATATTCAATGCATACTGGTAAGAACCAAGAAATTAATAGTTAGGCTGGACGTGCATAGATAAGTATCAAACATTTGCATGGACCAGTAGCCAGCAACTAAGAATGATGCAATTATCATGATGGTAGATTTCATTAGCCGATTGCTACTAGTCTATGGAATTGATCCGTGAAAAAAGAATCGTTGCCGGCTGGATTGGTAACTTTATTTGCTTTAGAAAATGATGGTAAGGAAGCAACAACTCACCTGTATTCGGGTTTGTAGGTCCAATTGGAAGTAGAAGATTAAGATGTCTTCGTTAGCAGACTCACTGCGTTCCAGCCTTGCATTACTACTGCTACGGTCATCTCCTCCAAATAGCCATTTAGCGTTAGTTCTCACTGTAGTACCCATTTGCCTTCTATTGGTCCTCATATGTAGTTTTTTCACACACCAACGCCATGAGTACGCTCCACATGTTATTGAATTTATTTTGTAAAACAACCTCAGATCATCCACTGCAAGACAAGCTGGTCTAAAACATGATCCATGGGGCGAGGAAATTGAACCACATGCAAAAATGCCTTGCATTGTATTGGTATGAGATTTGACCAGTTCAATTCCCACAACTGATGTAGTCCAATCACCACACTGACAGTTGCAATCAGCAAGCCAGTGGCATCTCCAGCTGCGCAGAGAACAAAAACATTTTGCTTAAAACTAGTACAAAATGCACTAGGTAACTAAGAAAGGCTTTGAATTGTGGCATCTAAATAATTACAAACTACTATTAACTAACAAACTAACAAGTAGTGCCTGGAACCCTACCATATCGTAAATGTGCAATAAACATTTTACTATCTTCTTTTTTTTTTGTCCGTAGATACTGATCAATCTATTCTGAATTATTGAAGGTAAATCGCACCTAACGTGGTCCAGGCGAGTAAGCAAAGAAACCCTCAAACTCTTTGGAAATAATAAAGTGCTAGAACCTACCAGTACGCTTTGTTTCGAGTAATATCTATCAGTGCTCTCTACTATCACGCAAAAAAACAAAATCCTCAAAAACTAATGGGTTATACGGGAGAGGTAAGGGGTTGCCCGCAGCAAGATAAAACGCCAGAAAAAAAAAAAAGCTACGAAACCAATCAAAGAAGCCACAGTTCATCACCAACCGAAGAAACGAAACCAATCCAACCCTTTTCAGAAGGAAGAAATCCTAATGGGACTCCGGTCTACGCCGCCGGCCATGTAGCGAGCGTGGAGAGAAGGATAGATACCTTTTCTGGCCGAGGCGGCGCGCGCTTCGGTGGGAGGAGGAGGCGGGGAAGCGTCGACGAGTCTCGGCGAACGGGGAAGAAAGGGGGAGGGCCGCGCGCTTCTCGGCCGTAACTACCACTGGCTCAAAGTGTGGCGGTCGTCGACGGGATACCGGATAGAATGTGTGACCTGGATCAGGAGTGCATCGACTGCAGGTTAAGCACTTGGGTGAAACTGACCGTCCAAGAACCAGCGAACGTTTAGGATTCTCTGACCTCGCCTTCTCCTTCCCTTCCCTTCATCAAGATTTGGTTACAATTTTGGGGCAATTGCATCTACGCCCCCACTTTCAAACCCAATTGCTGTTTTATCTTCACTTTTTAGGGACATGTATACCCTCTGCATCCAGCAATATCGTGCAGGGGAGGACCTGGAACAAGGGACGGGGAGGAGGGCGCCGTAGGCGCCGACGTCGACGTCGAGCAGGATGGGGTCGTCGCCGGCCACGGGAGCAGTAGCAGCAAAAGCGATGGTGGGGGCAGGCGGAGGCGGGGGCTGACGACGATGCCTCGGCGTGGAAGCCAGCGGCCACGGGAGCAGCAGCAGCAGCCGCCGCCGTCGCCCGCACGCCGTTGCCGCGCGCACGCCCTCGCCGCCGCCCGCCCTCGCCGCGGCTGCCGCCCCCGAGCGCACGCCCTTGCCGCCGCCCGCCCTCGCCGCAGCCGCCGCCGCGCCGCGTGCAAGCTCTCGCCGCCCGCCCGCCCTCGCCACGGCGGCCGCCCTCGCCGTCGCCATCACCGCGCCTTCCGCCGGAGCCGCCGCCGGAGCCGCGCACGCCGCTGCCGGAACGGTCGCCGTCGCTGCACGGTGCTTGACCTGAGCAGAGCTGTGCTTGCCTGCTTGGATCCTTATGAGAAAGACTACACAACGGTATATACCACTTATCCCTCATGCCGCGACCCCACGTGCCGGCTTCTCCCGAGTATGTCGCATGCTGCTAGGATTATTATCACACAGGTTTGCTGTGTGTATCAGTGTATAGTCTTGTTCCTGACAGCTAGCTAGTACCTAGCATGCCTAAGTCATGCCTTTGATACTAGCCTAGCTGGTTGTTGTGCATGCCAAATCCCTGTAATAGCTACTAGTAGACCTGTACCCTAGCTATGTAGGGTACTTATTATGGAGGAGCCTAGTAGCCTAGCTATGTGTCTAAGATGGGTTGCATCTATTTGTTGTATCCTATACCATGCACGGATTAGACCGGACAAATAATTACCTAGATTATACATGGATACAATGGATTATTCTAATTAGATATGTCATGTTGGGCTCTTGGTTATACCACATCTTAGAAACTCTAGTATGTGATACATAGATGCTAGATTATCATATATGATATCCAGGTATTGGGTCGAATACCTAGGTACCAAGTATGAAACCTATAAATACAAGATCTGATGCTGAGTTATTTGGCATGATACCTATAAGTACCGGATCTGATAACTAGGTATGGTGTCTGATACCTATGAGTACCAGATTGGATACCCGGGTATCGGGTATCTGATCTCATACCTATGAGTATTTGTTCCAATACCTATATGTAACGGGTCGGATACCCAGGTACCGAGTATGATACTTATGAATACCAAGTCTGATACCTAAGTATCGGGTCTGATACCTATGAGTACCGGATTCAATACCTAGGTCAGGTTTGATACTTATGAGTATCGGATCCGGTATCGCGCATGATACCTATGAGTATTAGATCGGATACCCGGGTATCGGGTATCTGATCTTATACCTATGAGTACTGGATCCAATACCTAGATACCGGGTTGATACATATTAGTAGAGGATCTGATACCAAATATAGGGTGTGATGATACGAGACTTCAGATGTGATACCACTAATTCTAATATTTATGGGTTATATACTTCTATTCAACAGTCAAATAAAAAGATGGACCATGCATAGCTAGGCCAGAAAGTACAGCCAAACTTGCTCACGTGCTGCTGACATGCTTTGTTTAGGCTAATGCTACTAGCTCTAGTGCTTAATTCTAACTTTACTAGTTGAAGCAGGTGTTAGACCCATATGGACCTAAAGAGGTGTAGAAGTAGTGCTGTATTAGAGTATTTCATAGCTATTTTGTATTGTAGGAGAAAAGAGACCTCTCGTCAGTCATCACTAGTCGGTAGCCTCCATGTGAAAGGACAGCACACGACACGCTTTCAGAGAGAAAAAGAATCGGTGAGTGATTAGTAAGTATAAATTATAAACTATACCGTTGAGACGGTACACCATCCCATAGTTTTTCTCGATCCTTATCCATTCATTGAAGGGTACAACAGTAAATTAATATTTCATAAAAAGAAATTTCTATTTCTCTTTGTGGGACCCAGTGCCACCGAACAGGCCCATTTTTAACCCAAAACTGTGGGACCCATCTAACGGGGCTAAAAGTGAGGGCAAACGGTGGGTTCATGTTCAAAAAGATGAGGCAAAATTGCAAACTCTAAAAAGTAGGAGTAAAACAGCAGTTGAGGTTCAAAGTGAGGGCATGGATGCAATTATCCCTACAATTTTTGGCCCAAAAGGAGGAACGCGGTTCCCCGCTCATCTCGTCGCCTGTTCTTCACACTCGTCGGGCACTCGAGCACAGGCGCACGGCTGTCAGATATGGCAACGGACCACCGATTTGGCATTAGGGACACGGGCACACGGGCCCGACGTTAGTGTCTAGCACTCCAGCGTAGATGTGCACCGAGTGACCGAGGCCACAGAGATGCGCTGACTGCGTTGTGCTGGTGCGCCTGGTGCCTCGTACATACAATACAATAGTTTTGAGACCCTCATACAATACATTACTCCCTCCGTTCCAAAAAAAAACCCATTCGTTGCTTTAGGAAGGGTCACGTTCCCTTCTAGATTAAGTTTTTTTTTTTTTAAGAATAGAGTGTGGTTGTTATGTCTTTTTTTTTTCTTATTCGTGTGCAGTACTGTAATGCATTAGTACTGTAATGCATTAGGTACAAAATGTCTGATGTTGTTCGAGGGATGAGTTCATGAGTACAAAGAAGGTGGATCCTTCTTTTGCGACAAGTAGGGCGACATCGTTTGGCTGATTATAAGCATAAGCAAATGACATATTAGCAAATAAAAATAATTTGTGAATATAACGTTTATATACGTATTCTTAACGATTTAAAAAGCAAAGCCTACAAAATAAACTACGATGAAAAAAATCCCAAAATAAACTTCATATTTAAGGTTGAAATGCATATTTTGGCTGATAAATATAAGCATAAGCTAAAAGATAAGGCCGGTAGTATCTATTTGAACTTTGTGAACATCTATTTCATTTGCTACGGCACAAAGTGTATGTGCTAGAACATATTTTTCTTTATTTCTTCATTAATTTCTTATGGCACAGTGGCATGATAGATATCTTTGAGCCCTCGTTCTTGACAGTACTCAAAACCATATAGTTTTTCCTCTCTTTCTGCTTGAAAATGCCATCGATCGATCTATTGTAGCCGTTTGTTCTCACCAGCCCTTCGAACGGCAATTTGAAGCCTTGGTTCAAGATTTTTCAATAGTTCTTCCTGTTTAAAGTTGAATTCGAAAACATGGAATGAGCGTTTGACATGTTTCATAATATTAGTTTGGAGATAAGAACATAACAAAGAAAAGGAATAGCATTTTTTCAGTTTATAAGTATACCAATTCATATTCTAAATATTATAAATAGTGATTTGATCTTTTTTGTGTGTACTACATCTCATCTTAACTCAGTTCATCTAAAAAATATATATATTGTTCTATTGCTAACCTCTAAACATCATAATTTTCCCATTCGTTTTTTTTATAGCGTGTACATCTTTTCAAATTCATTGATGTGTACACAACCATCCCGTAGCAATGCAAGGGTATCAGTTAGTTTTTATTGTTTCTAGCAGGTTTTATCCAATATCACATGTATATATTACAATTAAGAGTAGTTTAATTTACACACACAAGAATATATGTAAGCTATAGGGGTAAACTTACCATCAAGAGGGACCTATCTTTCACCACACTCAAAATATATACAGACAACCAACAAAAATCTCCAACTTGCATGCATTTGTATTCAACCAACCTCGGGCCATCCTGGCTTAACTAATTCAGACAAGCAAACAGTGCCTGTTGGATGTGGCTAGCCAGGCTAAGCTCATTCAGGATAAGGCATACAGCCTAGGCTGGGTCATTCGGTAGCAGAACAAGCTTCCGGCAGCAATTTTTTTTTTCGGAAAAAAAAAGATTCTTTTTTATGCCATGAACGTAGAGAACTTTTTCCACCAACATAATGTAACGGGATAAATGGCGAATCATTCTTGTGTTTCTGAGGTCAAATGGTCAAGTGAACTTCCAGCAAACAAAATAAGGTTACTTATTATAATGTCGTAGGACTGTTACTTGTAGCATAACACCGAGCTCTGCCTCATTGTCTGCTATGAGATTCAGCAATAATAACCCCATGAATCATTTGACAGGTGATCAGCTCATAGCTTCACAATCGTCCTACAATAATGGTGATAAAATATTTGCCAATGGATGCTTACTCCCGAAAATGATAGGCCAAGAATTCTATCTGGAAGATCGTATGACGGTTCCAAGCCAATCTTCTGAGCTCGTGTCCCCTTTTAAGGCTCTCAGTGAATGTTCTGTACCAACCTGCATCAGAAGTCACACGGAAAAAGGAAAAAAAAGGGTCATTGAAAATTTTATATACACAAAGTCATGAGGGGAGGAAAAAGTTACCAGACCTTTGTAATATACACATCAACTCCAAGCCTAGCTATCGCAGCAGCTTCCAATATTTTGGTCTCCATTCCGCCAGTGGTGTCATGTGCAGCTACAGATATCTCCACTGCAATGCATATCAGATTATCTTTGTTAGGATTACACAAGCTACAACATACAGTTTATCTTTATTATGCTGGTCAAAAGAACAGTGTGTCTTTATCATGAATTTCATTAGCCCCTGGCTTAAAAGATTATAGCTTTGATCCCAATACTCATATTTCAAACTGTCACTCCTCCATAAGTATAGTATTTGATCCAAATCATTGAGACTTCCAATTTTCTCTGCATAATGCGTAAGAACAAATGATGTATTTGTTCATTAGAAGTTATTAATTGAAAAATCGTCACCGGTAGCTACTTAATCATGTGCCTGTTACGATCTGATAATTTTTTATGTACTTGAACTTGTTACAACGAAAATAGTTGCATCAGTTACTCAGTACAACTGCTATGAGTAACTCAACCACCAGCGTACACATGGAAGGAAGACATAAATTATACCTCCTTTCTTGTTGCCTTTCAATGCTGGTTTTACAATCGACCAGCTGCCATTTTCATCCACCGCTGTTTAAACAGGCAAACAACACAGGTCAGCCTAAGACAGAAAGCAAATGGTAATTGCATATCTTTTACTTTTCGTGTGCTCCCTACAATTTCTGATGCATATCAAACAGGAATTCCAGTAGGTGAGTACTGAATGCTAACCTATCTCTCTGAGAAGTACTGCATTCGGGTCTGATGGAGGACGATCAAATACTCCATGGACATCTGTCTACATCTCAATTTTCAGAGTGCTATGCAAAAGCAACTATAATGAAGGATGGGCAACATATGCAAAGAGTGGTGCACAGAAATGTGATAGAACAAGGCCTGTCTGATAAGTGATAACAGCAATACGAACTTCAAGTATTAGAATAAAGACATTTCATCCATGTAAATAATTTGATGCACGCACCATCTCACATACATAATATAAATTGTCAAGTCATGGCAAAGGTGAGAAGGCAGCAATACCAGAAATACAACATATTTTGGACTCAGAAGCTGTGCAAGATGGCGTATAATGACATCCCCACTCAAAATGGTGCAGTCCTGGTCATTTAATTATACCACATAAGTCTTGAGAAGTACACAAAATGTGTCATAGTCCAGAGAGACCTCTATGTAAGTGTAAATTAGGACATGGGCGTGATTCAATCCAAAAGCTCACCAGCAATTCATCAAGAACAGCATCTCCATGCAAAACCTGGAAGAAATTTTTTATGTTCTTTTTAATGTAGATGAAGAAAACATAAGTAGAGCTGTGGAAGTATGCAATGCTTTCCCTATTCTTGAAACATTTCCTGAACAAAAGTTTACTCATAGTATGTTCAAATATCTGAACTAATTCATTATTTACCAGTACAAAATCTCAGCTAAGTTGGTATAGAAAATGTATTGCAAAATAGGATGCAACTTAGAAGAATTACCAGTGCACATAACATGTGTAATGAATATGTTACATACTACATAAATATTCCAGAAACGCCATATTTTTCTTACAATATGGATACATAAGAAGTGACCCATATAACTACATTACTTAATATAAAACTTTAGTCGTTGTAAATTCTAGAGAAATAATTATTCAAGATTATGAAGTACAATAACTTACAGGGACAAAGCCAACATGGAGTGATAGCATGATTTGAGAAGCATCCACTGATTCAAGCTGTAAGTGCAAAACTGGAAGGTAAAAAATCAAAGGGCATCTCTGTTGATAGGATTAGACATAGATCTTCAAGAACTTTGCAATGTCAAGTCCATGTCCAAAGAAACAGAAGAAATTTAGTTAATTGTTTGCTTTCTCACATTTCTTTGCTTAGTAGACCATCCACAAGCAAACGGTGACATCCCAACAGACGGTATTCCTTCTACAGAATCATACACAGTTCAAAAAAGACATTTACTTAATTATTAGCTACTGATGATAAACCGACAGCAATAGACTGAAGCAATGCATCAAGATCATATAAAAGATGGATACATATAGTGGTTAGTTCAGGATTAAGATTACATAGGAAAATTGTTCATAACAAATGACAATGGATCCTTGGATGGCACAACGGGTTAAGTGAAGACCGCACAGTAAAATTCCAGACAAAACACATATATTCTCTAGATTATAATGGAGCATGAGTTTATGACAAAGTAACAAAAATGACCACATAGATATCCTGATAGCACGAAAGAAACATGATTGTGATTCAAATATGAAGAGTGGTCCTTCATCTCAATGTTGTGTACCTCTTGCAAGAGCTCTAACAATCTCCTGGTTGAGAGAAGTGACCTGAATTGTAATATGCAGATCATAAGAATTATTTTTCAAGCATGCGCATCAAAGAAGCACTACATATGTTGACGATATACTGGGCAACAAAGATATATCTCTGAAAGTAAGATGGAGAAAAAAAATATAGATTATAATATGAACGTGAAAGGAGAACTTCAAAAACTAGCCTTACTGAAATTCTTGTAGCCACAAAGCCAGCCTTCACAAGTGTTGAATGAAGACCCCCTTTATGGACTCCAGATCTACTTGCTTGGAAGTGACCAAAAGACCCTGAGGTAGCAGATGTAGGTAGTCAGCTATTACACCACCAAAATCGTGGGCTGTATCCTTTAAACTACAACAGGCCAATTATAGTCGGCCAGTATTACAGGCATCATGAAGTGTGAGCTATTTTCTTTATTCTCCCCTGGTTGCCTAGGACTACATTTTCAAATCAAATCTTTATTGATGCAGTGGAAAGTCCTAAGCAGGAAGGATGCTGAGAAGCTGGAGGCCATGGCTAGCAAACTTATGGAAGCAGTCTCCTCCCTTGGTCCTCCCAGAGCTGGAGTAGGGTAAGCACTGATGCTTTTTCTGTGGTGCTGTTGGTTAGCTGTTATCTGTTGAGTTGTTTAGAGGTGCCTGAGTTGTCTTTTGCTTTTGGTCGCTTAGCTTCAACCCCTTTGTATCCCTTGGCATGGTTTGGTTTCTGCCCTGTTTCTGTGTTTTTGTGCTGAACTCTTGTAAGTGGGTCTCCCCCACCACTGTGCCGCTTCTGGCTTTCTATAAAAGCCGGGCCCGATGGTCTATGATCTAAAACTATATTTTCAGGGTGTCTACCAATCAAAACAGATTTATTCAAATATATTCCACGAAGGTCAGCTACGTTCCGAATATAGACCGGTTAAGCAGGTCGTGAACAATGTTTACAATTGCTTGTCATTGATACACATTGAGAATGGTACTTGGTTCACAGTTTCGCACCAAATTTTCACTTAGCCGTAGTAGTATTCTGAAACCAAAATACAGCAATCAAGCTGATCCTATCGTCTCCAGATCCCAACCGACCACCGATCCCCCAGTTCTGCTCATGAACTCATCAGCAATACAAAATGACAGATAGGCACAGTTGTTAGTTCAGATGAGGAGCCATGCATACCGGCACCATGGACGACGACGAAGTTGGAGTCGAGCCCCAAGCCTCCCATCTCCGACAAGCCCTCCACATCCACGACCGGGCCGGTCGGATCGCCGGGCCGTCTGCTCCAGTCCATCCCCACAACCTTCCCCGCCGCGCCGCCGTGGGACATGGCCTGCCGCAGCTGCGCGCACGCCGACCGCAAGCTCGCCGCGTCGATGCTCTCCAGCTCTCCCTTGTTCGTGATGGCCGCTCCACCTGCGCCATCGAAGCTGCTAAAGAGGAGCAGAGAGGAAACAAGGGAGCGACGGAGCGCGCGCGAGTACCGAGTTTGACGATGCAGCGGACGGGGCGGGAGGCGGCGGGGTCCGTCTGCTGCTCCTGCGCCGCCTCCTCCGCCATGGGAGCTTCCTCTCCTCGACCTCGCGCCGGCCAAGGCCTCGGGAGGGAGAGGCGAATCTGGTGCTGTTCAGTGGCAACCGGCACTTCTGGATTGCCCAGAAATGCTGGGCCGGTGCTTCGCCTGCCGCTCCGGCCCATCAAAGCTTTTCCATCCGCTCGCGGAAATTCTCGGCCCAAACCTGCTCGGCCCGATCCGTCGCCAACAAGAGCAAGGCACGAAACCGCAACCCTTCCGACCTCACCGTCTCACCGCCGCATCCCGCTCGCCGGTCACCGGCTAGACGCCGCCGTCGCGCGGGCTCCTGGGTTGCCGTGTCTCCATCGCTTCCTTGTTGGCCTGTTCCTGCGAGCTTCGCCCTCTGGCTTCCTCCCTGTTCGGGATCCGGGATCGTGTGTCTGCCTCTCGGCTCGCTGCGCCGCCGCCGCCGCCGGCTCGTCCCGTCTGTGTGTGTGTTTGTGCAGGTCAGTGTTATTTTGTAATTTTACTACGAGCTCAGATTCGTATACGTTTTAATTTTGTGTGTATGTGCTACTATTCAACTTGCATCTGTTCAAGCGGGTGACAGTGTTATGCTGTTGTACATTAGCATTGTGCATTTATGCATGCATTTTGTTTGAGCATTAATTTGTGCCCGATTCAGTACTAGTTTTCCTGTTAGTATTTACCTTTTGTCTCTGACTGTTCTAGGATTCTGGCTTAAAAGGGATAATCTATGCCGTCGAAATCGTGGCATCAGTTGTCATTCAATTCAATCCCCTTGTTGATTCATGTGCTTGCAGTTGAAATTGGAGTAAATATACAATGAGGCTGTTGAAAGCGGATCAGTTGTTCAGGAAAGTCATTGACGGCGGGTGGAGAAAGCAATCTCGACTGCTTGGGCTTGACGTTGGTAGTAAGTATGTTGGGCTGGCTGTTTCCGACGACAAAAATAGGATCGCATTGCCTCTAAGGTATGCACTTCAAACTATTGTAGCTGAATATTGTGTTCCTTGATCCAAAGGTTTCACTGAGATAGTGAGATGTTTCCAGAACATATTTAGCACAAGTGATTCCAGTGTGTCCATAAAAATTAGAACATCACTTTCTATGTGATGATTTAAATGCAGGCGGTTCTATATTCCATTCCTCTCATGGATTAGTAGGAATGTTGAGTTTCCAACTCATTTCAATGGATCGGCATTTTTTGTTGTACTTCATTCAAATCATTATCATGTTGGATTGGAATCTTCCAACTATCAGAATTTGTTTCAGTTTGTATGGTCTCTGGCTTTTGTAAGACAGTCTATTATTGTGCTGTGTCTGTTGTATTAGGTCCTTCTCTTTGATTAATTCGACTATACTAAACTTCGGTTTGTTAGAAAATAACTGTAGTTGCCTTCAAACTTTAAGGAAAATTATTTGCAATTTACAATATATCGATACACAAGATCTTATCCCTACTATCATAGTGTACCTTTATTATTTTTAAAAATATTAGTCTTTAACATATTTAAGCCTTATAAGGCTTTTCTTCACGAGAAATTCTTCACTTACCATTGTTAAGATGGACGGACTGCACTTGGCTAAAGCTGATATCCTTTTACCTACCTAAGCACTCAGACAGAGTGGATCTAGATTTGCTGAAGTATGCGTTTATCTAGAATTTTGTGGTCATTGTCTGCACTGCTAGCATAAGGTTATCTCAGGATAACACCCCTGTTTTATCAGATATTGACTCTCTTGAATTTGCAACAATCCACCTGCCTACCTGGTTTTTTGTGGCCAATACTATGATAGTTTAGTGATGGGATATATGATCTGCATGCATTCCCTTAAAGAAATGGATTTTCCTATTGGGATTAACAATTGCATTGTCTCCTACAGTGTATTGAGCAGGACAAAGACAAACATCAGCTTGATGGCGGATGATTTCGTAACTTTGGTATGCTGAATATGTTTACTGACATTTAAATTCTGGAGTAATCAGATTGTAGAATCACTTACCAAAAGATCGAGTTCTTAATATGCCATGTAACATCATCCTACATCAGATCGAGTGCTTAATGTGCCATGTCACATCATCCTGCATGGCTGCATCGCATGCCTGCATACTGCACAAGCAATTTTGTAGCATGTGTGTTGAGGTTACGATGCATTTATGGAAGCCAGGGTTACAGGCCTTCTCTAATATGCTGTTCTTTACTGCTCAATTTACTCATGTCATTTACATTTCCAAAATACTCGAGGGTGACATTGTCCACAAAGAAATCATAAATGATTTAGCAATAGAAGTTACAGACAGCTCATGATGCATATATTCTTTCATTTTAGATTCTGGTGAACATTTAAAAGCACTCATGTTTTGCTATTTTTCATACATGGAAGCCAATTCCTTTTCTTTGTTTTTGTGAATAGGTCTCAAAATACTCCCTTGCAGGCTTTGTTGTCGGCTATCCGTTCAACTTGCAGGGTCAATCTAGTCCAAATGTAAAGTGCTCTTGTGCTGGGAGCCTGGGATAGTGCACCTCATTTTCTCACTATATGTTTGGTGATGTTTCCTTTTTCTATTAAGCAGGCATTACAAGTAAGGCTTCTTGTTGGAGAGCTCTGTAAAACTGGGAAACTTGATGATATGAGTTACACCTATTGGGATGAAAATTTTACCTCGAAGGTGATGGTACTTTTTTGCCCATTATCTCTCAAACATGAAACTACATATTAGCATGGGGTGCATTACTCATGTGACCATTTTATCCTACTTTTCAAGTACTTTTTTATGGTGAAGTGTTTTGATTGATCTGTTTATGTCTCCAGTGTGTAGAAGCCCTTTTACATCCTCTGAAACTACATGACCCAGTTGAAACCAAAACAATGACAGATAAATTTGCTGCGGTTTGCATACTCCAGGTACATACAACAAATACCAAATGACGTCATTGTAGACTTCGTTGTTTCGATTATGTAATTATTATTGAAAACCAGTACTCATAGTTCATTTAGCTGAACATCTGCTTAGTGACATTGACTATCATACTTTGTTTTCCTAAAAAGATTTTTACTTTCTGTGCAGCGCTACCTAGATAATATGAACAGAGAATTGAGATCTGCAGATAATTCTGGAAAACAGGGTGACACCTGAGTTCCACAATGCATATATTATTCTGTTCGGTGCACACTAAACCAAAGACAACGGAATCAGCATCTGTTCGGTGTACTGCTGCCTTAGTGTACTGCTGCCTTATGAAAAAGGCTGTGCAGTTCATTGAGACATGTACAAAACTCTGAGTTTATGCTCTCGTATACGCCTGATAAGTTTTGTAGATGCAGACTTGCAGAGCTGACAATTCGTCAGCTAGCAAGGGCAGCTTCCCTGCCTGCCTGCTAGAGGCAATTTGTTGTAGGTGATGCACAAGTACTAGGAATCTTTTCCCCCTTCCTTTATTTTCTTGCTTATGAGGCCATTGGCACCGAAATGCCTGCTTATGCGCAGCTTGAACAATCTCTTCCAATATGATTGCCGAGCATGCGCGTGTGTATATGAGCCTCTATTGTGTTTCGGGAAAAAAAATGATTGCCGAGCCAAGAAGATGCAATCAGGCTGTCGAGTCAAATCAGGTTGATAATGGCGTGCTGCAGCCAGATTCCATTTCCTATGTCTGCATGCGCATGCTTAGACAAAATTCACCGTGATGTTAACAACTCATGTCATTCGACGACGGGCAGCTTTTGATCATTGTCACATCCCTGATACTTGTAAATCCTCAATAATGTTTCCTCAGTTGTGCATATCCGTGGCCTGCAATGCTCCGTGCAATTGTTGAATCTGTTTCCAGAACTGATAGCGTAAGGAATTGTATGACCATGATCCTTGCTGTCTGGTTGCAAAAGATTGAAAATTCTACTCTACAAAGCAAGTTAGGCTGACAGAGAATCTTGTGGATGGGATGAGGTAAGTTCACTTATCCAATTAGTTTACTACTCTATAGGAGACAATAGGTGAAGAAATAGGCACAAGAGCTAATGTGCAGACTTGTGCTGCTGAGATCGTTTCAGACTTGGACAAACAATGCTATGTGGTTTACATGGACTGCGAGTCTGCAACAGATAAAATCACCAATCTACAGCTGTAATCTGCATTGTCCGTTTCCTAGGGTTAGCGTAAGGAATTTTCCGATGTTTCTCCCAGGATCTCAGTCTCAGTGGCTGAGATCGCTGCTACTACCTACACATGCAAAAGATCATAAAATTCGATTCTATCAAGTAAGTTAGGCTCATGAGGAAGTTTCAGAATACAGGTAACTACACAAAGGAGTTAAACACATCACACAGCACAAAAGAGGAGAAAAAAGAGAGAAAATTCTGAGGTGGTAGGCACATCACAGCACAGCAATTAAGCATGAAACATAAGGGGAGCAAGCAGGTCGGCGCAGCCACTTGTCAAGTTAACATAGCTCTCACGTATGCCTGCCTGCTTCCATGCCAAAAGTCTACTACACTACAGCTCAAGCTACTATGTATCTGCCTATCTCAAGAGCAGGAGACAGTGGTGAGCACAGCACGAAACCAAGGTAGCCGAACCATGCAAAGTCAACACAGTTGACAACCAGCAATAGCTTTGTGCAAAAGAGATTTGGCAGCCAAGGAAAGACAGGTCAGGAGCTCACATCACCATTGGAAGTCAGCCACTGATCGTACCGTTGTTATTTTTAGGGAGCCGTACTGTCTAATCAGGGGGAGAAGAGCTGATGAAGGTGTATACTGGCACGTTGGAGATGGCTTGAAGGTAAAGAAGACGGCTGGTTCACGGTAGGTGATTCGGTCGAGCAGCCAACGGTTTTGGACCGGAATGCACGAGCTAGCTCGATCGGCATTCTCCCTTTTATTGTTTATATATTTTCCCGGTTGTTTGTTTGTTTGTTATTCCGGCGATTTCTTGACCAGAGATAAGCAGTCGTTTATTTCAAGGTCTGAGTCTTTGACAATTTGTTTGTGTGTTGATTTTGTTTTGGAAATTGTAGACTTTGACTGAAAAGAACGAGGTTAATTAATCTCGTAATCCAGTCAGAGATGAGTAATTGGCATAGCGACGGCTTGCATGAAATTAGAAGTTTTGTTAATTTCATATTAGCAACTAATACGATCTCCTGCCTGTTTGCACTTTGCAGGAGGAAAATTCAGCAAGAGTAGGAATTGGAGGCAGAAGTTAAGCACAATGTAGCATATATGGAGTTATGGATCAGGAACACGTACTCTCCAAAATGATATTCAGCCACATATGCATAGTTTGTCCTATTTAAGCTTCCATGAATACTAAATATAATATATTTTTTCGGTGCCTACGAAAATAATCAAATAACGACCCCTGTTGGAGTATTAGACAAAACTCATACGTGGTTAGTCCATACTACGTGCGCATTATTGGCTGATGGCCATAGCAATAGCAGAACATGTCCATACACTGTACATGAAAATCGTGATCGAACTCTGTTCCCTTTACTGTTGGGCACCTGCAGCTGCAGTATCTACTATACCACCAAACAGTACTACCCGTCTGCATCCAACGTGCAAACTTCGGTTTGTCCACCACCGGGACATGTACCTCGTGTGACAGCGACACCACCAAGCGATCGATCGAGAGCACGCTTGCGGTGAGGACGTGAGGTCGCTCGCCCGGATGAGTACAGGGGCTCGAGGCCAAGGAGGGGGGGAACCAAACGTGTGACGGGAACAGCAACGTCTCGTGGGGGCAGCCCCGGTCGAGCCGAGGCGCGCTGGCGCTAGCTAGAGTCCGTAGCGTTTGGTGATCGATCCGACGGCCTGTCTCCCCGCGCCCACGTCGTCACGCGGTGAGACGCGGGCGCTCGGTCCACACACGCGCGCGCGTACGTGCGTGCGCCATGGCCACCATCGATCGCGGCCACCGGCTGGGTGATAGCCGGTGCGAGGGGAAATATCCGGAAGGAGGCTACTTCCTCTGTTTCATAATGTAAGTCATTTTAGCATTTTTCATATTTATATTGATGGTAATGAATCTAGATAGATATATATGTCTAGATTCATTACCATCAATATAAATGTGGGAAATGCTAGAATAACTTACATTGTGAAACGGAGGAAGTACTATATTACGAGATCTCATTCGAGATAATATCAGATATATTGATACGATGTTAAATCTAGTATCCCATACTGAACCATACCCGTTAGGTCTCAGTTGATACCTTATTAGTAACAGACCGACACCTATCGATACTAAACTTTTTACCCATTGGTATAAACCAATACCCATTAGCTATCAGATCTAGCCGAGAGAAATGAGAGAAGAAAGGATGGAGATGGTAGAACTATGATGCTCTCCATCCTCCCTCAACACGAAATGAATATGACAACGATGTTTCCCATCATCTCTCTGCGGAGGGCCCGCCATAGACGAGGCCGACACGGAGCGACCTCCCGTCCGATTCACCCACCATCCCTCATCCCCCCCCCCACCCTCCCCCCATTTCCCCTCCCACTCGAAGAGCAACGCGTATAGCAGAGAAGGTGTTCGGTGCAACGTAAAAATTGGGTGGCGACCAAGGCGAGCACGTGGCGTCATGGAGCGAGGGCATGAGGAGGATGAGTGGGGTGGAGCGAATCGTCACGCGAAGGATACCTTCCTATTTCCTAATGCATGGGTACATAATCCCAATATATAGCTTCATTTGTTTTTTTTTTCTCCCAAAACAAATTGAGTCTGGATTTGAAATTTTGTCTTAGCAACTTAGGAAGAAGGAACTTGAGGTTTTTCAATTCTTCTCTCGCATGTCCATGCAGTATTCGAATCGATCAAGCTTAAAGGTCGGTTGTGGTCAAGCGTAGGCGTCGCTCATCTAGGAGTCTTGTTGGGAGGATCGTAGTACTCTTTTGATACTTTGCCAGTTTCGGTCAATGGTTTCGGAGTCTTTACTCCCTTTAGAGTTTTCTTCTTCCCTAGTCGTTTCCTTGTGTTCCCTTAACAATTGTCTCTGGCTGTTGTATTGTGTAACTGAATTTCGGCTTTATTCTAATATATTGACGTGTATTTTTTTCGCGTTTGCGAAAGAAACGACTTGAAATTTTGTGGATGTTATTTTAATAGGAACTTTTTAAAATTTTAGAGAGCTTTTATAACATGGTCCACGGAGTTTTTCATTTATTCGATACTCCGTATTATTTTTTACCGGATATTTTCCCGGGAGGAGACCCTCGCGGGCTTTTGTCATGCCGCTGTCCCTTGGTCCCGAGGCCGCAGAGCCGTGCTGTCCCCTCCCTCCGATCCCTCTAAGATCGATCGGTCGCTCGAGGCCGGCTACGTTAGTCTCGCCTCGATCGATCGGTACGGGTACACTCACTGGCTCACCCCACTGCAAAAAAGTCAGGATTCGACGCTTCGGCCGATTATCACCTTGCGATCGATCGACAACTCGGGGGTTGTTTCACGTGTACGTGTTGAGTCCCCGTTCACGCGTGGACTAGTCAGGAACAGGATACACTACGTACTACGTACACTCAGTGGCCTTGACAATCAGAGACAATGTACTAAGCCATTCGATCACACCTGCATGCTGATCAGCGAGTCGATCTACGACTCTCTCGCCCGTTCGTCGTCGTGACCATGGTGGATTAATTAGACGTGCAAATTAATAAGGCGTCGCTGTCCAGGGTGCCGGGTGTCGACGGCGACCCGTGGGGACGAGCGGTCGTACCGGAGAGAGACCGTGCCGCGCGCTCCGCTCCGCGCGGAGCGTGGCGTGGCGTGCTGCCGTCCATGCACACGGCGACGACGACGATAGGTGCATGCACGCACGCACGCACGCGAGAGGCGCTAAGCTATAGCCCGCTGCTGCGAACATCGCGCGCGCTCCCGCGGCGGCGGCGCGGTGGTATTCGGTCTTCACGTCATGGTCGATCGCGCGCCCGACACCGCCACGTGAACGATACGTCCTGCCGCGTTCCGTGTGTCCATCTCTCGTACGTAGCGCCAGCGTGCGCGTGCGTAGCATAGGCGGCGGTAGACGGCGTACGTCGCCGTATAGCAGCGCGCCCGCTCGCGCGTCTCGCGTACGTCGCCTCATCGCGTGCGTGTGTGGATTTAGCTAGTCTCGGTAGCTCGATCGGTCTCGCGCCGAATCAATCGGAGTCGTAGCGTGGCGCGTCACGCACGTAGCGGTAGCCGTGTGTCTGGGTCCATCGGACACGATCGATCACACGATATATGCTACTATAGAGAAGCTAGATGCGGACGGTCGGGCTCGGCCATCTTTCGTTTTCACGGGGCGTCGTTTTGATCAGGATTCGGTTCGGACCTGACGACATGGGCTAGCTACTACACAGTAGCCGCTAGGCGTGGATCGAAGGATATCTTTGATGGATGCTATACCGTGCTACGAGCTAGCGATAGGATTGGGGGAGTTGTGATGGGCAGGAATGAAAAGGGCGTCTTCTTTGAGCGTAGAGGAATCAGGCGTGTCTGCCGACAGGGTCCAAGCTTGATCTTTGTTAATGCGACCTCAAATTGTAGCCTGTAGAGGCTGGTTCGTCTTGCTAATGTTAACTGAGACATGCAGGACGCGATAGCATTTGCCGATTTGCGTGCATCGGTGCATGACAATACCTCTCTCTGGTCTGGCTTCGCTGGCAATGCTTGGCTATTGACGTTACCAACGCCCTAACGATAAGGATGCTCTCTTAATTCTTTACACTTTGAGATAGAGTACAATTTTTTTTTAGAACATGAGATAGAGTACATGACTTCTCAATGTAAG